TTTTGAAATTTTTAAAGGTTAAGATTTTAACACTATCAGTAAAAGCTCCTAAATACAATACATGTTTCCTCTAGGGAGCATTTGTAGACTGCATTCCCATCTAGTTAAAACACACATTATTGGTACCAAAATGGAATGCTGACAATCTAAAGTTTAAGATTATCCGCATAAAGAGTTCATCTCTGTACATTCCTTTATTGAGGCTCACATTTGATGTGACCACAACTCCAGTCCAAATTATTATCTTTCTATAACACTGTTTGAATAATTCTTATCGTTTGAGAGTGTCCTGCTACCAGTTTCGAGTTTGGAAACTTTGTTACACTAGGCAAGCATTAGACAATGAGTGAATGGTAGAGATTTTCATAGAATGCAAAACTTAAAGTGGCACCAAATTGAATATTATAGTGGTAACAGCAAAGGTCTGCCTTTTATTTTGTCAGTTCACTTGATACTTCTTTTCTTATAACTATTCTGTAGAGACTTAATTTAAACTGGATGTAATGATTCTATCATCAACCTATTTATCACCAATCCTCTGTATTATCTATTATCTATCAAAATATGTGTAGTATAAATAATCTTAGCACTCTAAGTTGGCAACTTAAAATGAGATAGCATAAAACTCTTAGGGCATTTTCTTCTAGCAGAAAATATGCTGCAAATGTAACAGGCTTAATTAGAGAGGCAGGCTGTCAGCTACAGACACATTCCCCAGTGCCCATTCCTAGCAGAGCCACGACCTGTGGGAATTTAATCCAAGTCTCCCATACGTTCGCCTGTTAACAGGAAGTTGGAAACAGGAACAGAAGCAGAAAGCAAACCCGTGTACTCTGGTGTAGGATCTGAACCTCTTCGCTGGTTCTTTTTTTTTTAAGTAGTTCAGAGTTCCACACCAGCACGTTTAAAATACTTTGATGGCTTCTCTTGGCATTTATGGTAAGACTAAAATCCTTAACACGAGCTTCAAGGTTCTGCCTTATTCTACAGCATCACGTTGTGCTGTATTCTCCTTATCCCTTCATGTTCAGCCACATCAGCCTTCTTCAGGTCTTTCACCATGCCACAGGTCCGTGACACGTGTTTTTGCTCTGTCTAGACCTTTCCCCCGTCTGCCTTCTGTGCCTGCTTAGCTCTTACTCATCAGCTATGATTACCTCAGTAGTCACATTATCTAAGGAATCCATCCCAGATTGCTTCATCTCATTCAGATTCCCTTTTTTATTTGTATTCATAGATTATGATCCTTTCCCATTTAGCCCTTTTTTTATTTAACTGAGTGTCCATTATCTATTGACCTAGACCAAAGCCAACATTCATCGTCTCAAAGTTCCCAAGAATCAAGAGCCAAGGGTAGTTAGGCTGGATGGTTCTAGCTCAACCAGTCTCCTCAGAATTCACTCAAGGTGCCGGCTGACACTTAGCCATCCAAGGTCCTCAAGGATCTGCTTCTGAGTTCATTCTTGTGACTTTATCAGGTTTAGGGCCTCAATGCATTACTCTTTGGCCCTCCAGTGTCCTGCTTGAGTCTTCTCAAATGCAGCTTCAGTTTAGCCCAGAGTGAAGAATCCAGGAGACAGGAGAAATTTCACATTTCTGGTATGTCCAGTCTTGCAAGTCACTTACTGCTGTTTGTGTTTGATTCCATTTGTCAGAAACGTGTCTTTAAGTCTGAGTCACACTGACAGGGAGAGGAATCGGGTTCTACCTTTTGAGGAAATTTTGGACATGTTTTTAAACTGACTCCTGTGAGTATTTCAGTAGATGCCTATCTCCCTTTCTTTGCTTTTCTTCACTTTTTCTTTTTTTTTTTTTCTGTTGCAGACAGAAAAGTGTATTTGTGAAGGGATCAGGTGAGCAGGGAAGGGTGAAGGAGGGAGGGGGAAAGCACCTCCCAGGAGAAAGCCAGGAGGTGGGGGTGCCGCTTGGGGAGAGAGAGACACCTGCCCATCTCCCCTTCCAGACTATGGGGTTCCTTGAGAATAGAACACATTTCTAGCCTTTTCTGTTGTGCCTCTGTCAAATCTCAGGAAGCCAGACAAAGCAAAGGCATGAGATCAATGTTTGATGCTTGAATTAATGCAACCATGTCCTCGAATCCCAGCTCTGGGAAACTGTCCAAATTATGAACCCTGAGTGCCTGGTTTTGGAAAATGAGAATAAGTGCTGGAAGAATAAAACAATGTGCCCTGCACATTAGACCCGGTATAGTCTGCTGCTGAAGAAGTTCATTAAATCCTGTTTCTGCTTCATCTTCTGTGTTTTGATCAGCCGTGCAGTCATTCTCACTGTGTTTCTCCATCTCTCCTGGCCTGTTAGTCTGTTTCAGCTGCCACTGTGCTAAGATTCTTCTTGCATACACCTCTGTGCAATTGTCTACGCCTCTATCCTCTCAGGCCACCAGGTCAATACACAGAAACCAGATTGGTTATTTTCAAGTCTTTGTGTCATTCATTCTGGCATCCTCTATGAAAAGTGTCCTGACTCGCGCTTGCTAAATGTGTAACAAATTTTCTGTTGATTCCAGATTCCTTTGAATTCCTCATCTGTACTGTCTTCGTAATACATCCAAGTATAGGGTGCCAGAACGACGGAGGACATCTCTGTCTATACCAAGAGAGATTTGATCTCCGCTGCACACAATCGCATTCCTTTCGTGTCTACACAAAGCGATGTCCCCACCCAGCAAGTTTTTGAGTGGAGCCAATGCAGAATATAACGAGCTTCATTTTCTTTTAATCTTAAGCCCGTTCATGTTCACCCTCATGATGATAAACTTCTAGGTTCATTTTTAATGCTCTCTAACACTGTCTTTGTTGCTGTAAAAACGATCTTGTAATTACGCTTGAAAATACAAAATTCCTAAATGATCTGTGTTATCATAGATGATTTGCAGCAGTAGATAAGATCAGTGAAAATTTGCCAGGTGTATGAGAAGATGAAACTGATTAGAGATCCTGATTTTATATTTCTCTGACTTGCCTTAACAACTTGCGATATAGGTGAATCATGCTTTAATGAATAGAAATCAGCTTAAAACATACAAACTTTAAAAATTATTCTTCTTTTTGAATGAATATATATGAACAAATATATAGTACTTAAAACATAGCAAGACCCAGACTGAGACTAACAAACAGTAAAGTGTTTACTCAGTGACTCTTTAGTAGCAACAGAGGTCAGTTAGTCTCACCTTATTAAACTATCATCATTCTGATAGAGCGAAGATATTTTGAAGCTGTGCTTCCCTGCCCCCTATTTACTACAAGGGGCCATAACTGCTTATTCAGGCCCTATTCAGAGAAGGTGCCAAACATAGATCCTTGTGTTTAGTTACTAATTAACCCTTCTCCCACCCATTGTATTAACCCTGGATTTGCACAAATTTAACAACTCTTTCTTTATGTTAGTATTTATAAGCCTAAGAGTCACCAAAAAAGGAAGTCAGCACAATGACTCAATTAGCTAATCCTCTTCCTGCAAGTATATGGTTACCAACTCATGTCCCGGCTTCTGCATTTCCCACCCAGTTCCCTGCTTATGGTCTGGGAAAGCAGCAGGGGAAGGACCTGTACCCACATGGGAGACACAGAAGGAGCTCTGGGTCCTGGCTTTGGATCGGTTCAGCTCTAACCAGTTCTGCCATTTGGGGAGATAGAAGATCTCTCTCTCCTGCTCTATGTAATTCTGCCTTGCAAATAAAAGTACATGGATCTTAAGGAAAAAAGAAAATAAGAGTTAACAAAAAAGCAGATTCTTCCAGAACTACAGGACTTTCATTTTGGTCGAATGATAAGGCTGCATGGAGGTAGATAGGTTCATACAATATTTACACTGGCTATCTATCAAAAGTCTTTATTTTACAAATAAAGAAACAGGCCTCCAAACTCCATGCCACATGCCAAGAAACTCAGGAACCTGCCATGTGCTCACCCTTGTCTTTTTCCAAAATGCCCAGTGATTGATTCATTTACTTTAAAGCATGCCAACCTTAATGCTGTACAAAATTGTCTACAGGCATTGCTAGCTGTTTCCTTGAGACAAAAATCACTCTCAGTTGGAGACCACTGGTCTAACCAAGGCCATCTTATTATTTTAATGAAATATTCTTCATTTGGAGCAAATACTTCAAGGCATAAATGCATTCATATTTAGTAGCAGACCTCTGAGTTGGTTATGCAAAATGTCATTCTTGGAGCAGGCATTTGGCTAAGATTTTAAGACAGTATGAGGACTGTCCACTTCCCAAATTGCAGCACCTGGGTTCAAGTCCAAGCTATTCAATTCTGATCCATTTCTGCTAAGACAGACACTAAGAGGCAGCAGATAATGGCAGGTTCTTGGTTCCTTGCCGATTACACAGGAGATCCACCCTGCTTTTCAGGTTTCTGGGTTTGCATGACCAATTCTCACTATTTCGAGCATTTGTGTGGGTGAAGCAGTGTCTGTCTTTCTGTTTGTCTAACTTTCAAATAAATCGAAGCAATGTTTTAAATGTCAATGTTGGGGGTTGCCTTGTGGTGAATTAAGCGCTGCTTGGCATCCCATGTGGAAGTGCTAATTCAAGCACCAACTGTTTCACTTCACGATTATGTACCTGGAAAGGCTATGGATGACTGCTCCACAGATGGGGCACCAGCCATCCTTGTGGGAATTCCTGACAGAGTTCCTGGAACTTGCCTTTTGCCCGGCCCAGTCCTGGATACTGCCACCGTTCAGGGAATGAGTTAGTTGACGGGAGTTTCTCTCTCCATATCTAACTCTCTCTCTTCCTTTCCTTTTCTCTTTGTCTCACTCTGCCTTTCAGATAATAAATATTTTAAATATTAAGATTATATTTAAATATTAAGATAATATTATATTTAAATATTAAGATAATATTAAATATTAAGAGCTTCTTTTTCAAGCTCTTACAAGTGGGAACAAATTCTTAGCAATGTTTGACAGTTCTAAGTCTAAGCTTTAAAAAGGGGTTAAGAACAGAACAGACTACAGGCTGGCAGATTTGACCCATGTTTAATGAAAAAGAAGTTACATGAATAGAAATGGACAAAGAACAAAGAGATCAATTTGGGAAAATGTGGTGATACATAGAACAATGAGGAAAACAATGTGCATTCTCAATTTCCTCACGTACTCGTTATTACTGATCCAAAATAGCTCCTTAAATTCAAAACAAAGTCATAGTTATAATTTCGCTGATGTTTTCAAAGGAACTCACTGAACTGATGTCCAAACAATCCTTTTTCCATTTCTGCCATGCGCCTAGAACACACACAAGCAAAGGCAGAGCGGTTTCCTGGGAGCTGATACACTGGGAAGGAGAGGCAGTCCTCTCTGTTTCTTCATTGCAACAGCAAGTTAGCACTGGCAGCTGAGCTTTTGGCACAAACACGATTTCTGCTACTATTTTCATAAGAAAGCTTTTATGGTATGCAACCATTTATTCTTAGAACAATCAATCATTGAAGGATTAAACCTGACTCTGATAATCAACAGATGCAGAGAGGTTTCTGAAAGTTAAAATTTGAACAGACTTGAAATGTTAAAAGCATGACATTTTAAAATATACACGTGGGAAACTGCACTGAGCATCCTCCTGGTGTGTTTCACAGCTCATGATTCTTAGCAGGATCAGCCGGTAGACTTTTTTATTATTACTATTTTCTATACTGGTGGACAGTTTGATCACACTTTCTTAAATAAGAACAAATATGTGTCTTTGGGAGAGAATAAGGAGCTCTGAAACCACATATTGGTAATATATTTGTGCTCACGATCTCAGTGGAAATAATCAAACTGAAAGCTGACAAGCACCCAACTCAGGTTAGACACGTGCTGTACAGATAGTGAAGAGAAGTGCTAGGCTTTACTCACTAGCCTTTTAAATTAAAAAAAAAAAAAATCTTTGGCCAGTGTCTAACAACCACCAACCTCTCAGGCTTAGTTTGAATAGTTCCAGGTTAGGAGGAGCCCTGCCTCTTCTGATACTGTATTCTCAGTTTTTCTAGTTGTTCCACACACTGTGACTGTGCCAGCTTCAAGGTGCGATTTTCCTCCGTCAGAGCTTCGAATTCCCGAACCAGCTGAGCAGCATCCACCTTCTCCTTTTCTGCCTGGTCCAGCTTGGCAATGAGCTCCTTCCTGAAGATTCCAGATGCAGGGCAGAGAGAAACACAGAATGCAATACAAACAGATTAAATTATGCCACTGCAATGGATGGAAGCATAATGCGTTCATCAGCTTGCTTCTGTGTTTCTTCCCTCATGAGGCTTGAACCTCTTTATTTTTACTCCAGAATCTGAATTAGACACATCAAAAAGATTACACATACCCCAGGGGTTCTTCCATAGTCCGAAAAATGCTCATTTCAAGAGTACAATAAATAATAAAAATTACATCTATGTTAGAAAAAGATCAGTTTTTTATTTGAAGTGCTCCCTACTGTCTTACACTCAGAAGAAATGCTAGTTCGCATTTTAGCGAGTTTCTGTACTTGAAAATAAGTTAATATTTCTTAGTTTCCTGTATCTTGACTAGACTTCCTTGAATTGAAGTATCCAATTCTCTCCTTACAGATACGATTTTACACGTCATTTCTGAGTTGTTGCGTATATAAAGTTGTCACTCGGTTTCTGTCAAGCATCAGTTCCTGCACCCCAAGAAATCCAAAATCCATGGATGCTCAAATCCTCTAGGAAAAACAGCACAGTACATGCATATAACCTATGTATTCCTCCTATATGCTTTAAAGCATTGATAGGTTACTTATAAATAACTAGTTATTACAATATCTAATGTAATGTAAATGTCACCGTACTGGTTAGAGAACAATGATAAAAACGAAGTCTTCAAGTGTTTGGTACACAGTAAGACTAGATACACAGTACCTAATCTAAGTTTGGTTGGATTGTGCAAATACGGAAGCACAGGTACCAAGTGGTGTTGTGGTTCTAATTAATAAAATACCGTATCTATATCCAGCCTAACTAGAGCTGGAGAGACATAGAGTGCTAGAAGCAGTTTATAATGATCATGTCTTAATTTAGGAAAATATTTTTAAATAACTCATTCATATAAATGCATATATGATAAGAAGGTATAGTGCTAAGTCCACATTTCAATTTAATGAACACAGAACCCCAAAAAGATGTTAGACCCCTTCCCCTTATGTGAGTCAGTTAATCCTAACTTAATCTAGACCTAACAGATGCTTGCTACCTCACATTTCTTCCTGTTTAAAGTGAAGAACACCCAATCATGTTCTCCAGACACACAGCTTTCCAGATGATTTCCTAACGAGAGGTCTTTGTTCTCCTGGTGTCAACATTGGTTAAGCACAGGTGGTGCCTAAATAACACTCTGTTTAAACCTTTCGAATTTACTTAACATGTATTTTTAGATATAAAGCAATGTATCTCACTCATGATTTCAAGGATCTCATGACCTATTTAGAGGTTCATATTTAAAGAAACATCTAGATAAAGCTCATATAAAGAAAAGTATTTAGTAGATAATACTGCAGATGAGACACAAGTCATCAAAGTTGGACACACAGTGCAACCATCTCCAGTCCCAAGCCTCCTCCCCCTGGGATCCTCCCACTCTGCAAACTGCCGGGGATCTGTGGCTGTGCTCTCAGATGACAGTGCTGCGTCCCTGTTCCAACAATCTGTGTGCTGTACAACACGTGCAAATACTGTCTTTGCATTCCTTCATCACTGGCGTTGGCCACCTTTCTAGAACGTGTCTCTTCTACCCTCTCCATAATGTGAAGGGAAGAAAACATCTAACCTATTCCTGAAGAGCAGCAATATTCAAGTTGCCATCAGAAAGAAATCCAGAGCCACTAGAAACCAGGCGGGTCTCCTGAGCGAAAGCCCAACTTACAAAGTTCAGTATTCCAGATCTAGAAAATAGCCTGATCATCTCGTTCAATCAGGCCTCCAACATCTTTCACTTGTTGTTGTATAACATTAGTAACTTAATAAAACACTTCGAGCACAAATCCCTATTATGTCTTATACATCTGTATATTCATTCATAAATTATATACTTGCTAATGCATTGGACGCATTGTGAAGACATGTATGGTAAAATTAATGTATGGAAAACTTAATGTGTGAAAATCTGACCTGAGTGTATCAATGAATCCCCAGATTATTTGTGAATTGCAAAGATGACAAATGTGAATAAACCTGAAAGTGATGAGATACGCAGACACTAGACGTACTGTGAAGGACTCAGTACCATTTCTGTGCCTTTTCTGACAAAAGTGTATAACAAGATGTATTCATGAAGAGCACCAGACAACACCAAATTGAGGGAAATACTACAAAATTGTAATTGTAGCCTTTATCTTTCCTATTTAAGAAACCAGAGAGAAATGACAAACGCAATGTGTGATTCTAAACCAGAAGACACCTAACTTCCAAAGACATGATTGGAAAATAGATGCCACTTGAATATGGGCTTTGAATTACATTACTGATCATTTTCTGCTCTGGTTAAGCAGGAGAATGTTCTTGCTCATGAGAAATACTCAAAAAAGTATTTAGGGCAGGGGAGTATGACTGAATGTACACATTATCTATGCATGCATGTGTGTGTGTGCAAATATCTCTCTATAGAGATATGACAGTACTTCAAAACACATTTTATTCTGGTACAAAACACACTACAAATCCCCTGGACTCTTCTTGATCTTTGGATCCACCAATGTGTTCAGAATAGAAGAGCCTCATAATAAATACTTGCTGGAAGAATAACTGAAGAAAAAGGCAGATGTTACTGATATTTTAAAGATAGGGAAACAGAATCCCAAAATGTCCTGTTTAACTGAGATAATGCATGACTAATAAAGTAGTGCAAGAAATCAAGATTATCCTTCTGGTTAAATATGCCCCTGAGAAGAGTTTAGAAAGTAAATGACAGTAACTAAATATTGATTATGAAAAATCCTCTTATAACCATCTGAAAAGAAATTAGAATAAACTATGTATATTGAAAGAGAGATATGCCCCAAATCCTTTAGTGCTTCGCCGATTCTTATTCTACTTTTATTCTTTTCAGATTATCTAAATCCTGTGAATAATTTACAAAGAAATAGTTTTATTTGAATCATAGTCTTGGGGTGGGAATTACTAATACTGACTTTAACAATAACTTTTCCAAGCTTGTTATTTTACCTCATTTAAAACCCTCAAAACCATATACATTAGTCCTGACTGGTAGAGATAAAATAGATGCTATCACAGATCTTACAACTAAAAAGAGCAGTCAAGATTGTCCAGTCCAATTTTCTTATATTATAAAAAGTCAATAATAAGTTATTCTTTAATCTAGAGACTCAAATTAATTTCATGTATTTGATAAGCAATTATTCAGATATTCTTTGAAAACTGTCAAAATGCCTATTGTTTTCCATCCTGGATATATTTAAATAGACATATTTATGCTCATCCATTAGCAATTCATAATTAAACCCTGGCACATGAAGTTATAGAAATGATCTTATAAATAGACGATGTGAGGAACAAATCAATATGTATAATTAACTCGAACATGGGCCTTTCATTTCTTGGCTGTATCATTTTTGTAATTCTTTTCAATATAATGTGATACAAGGGTAGCAGATCATAGGTACAGGAATTTTATTTCTGAAGTCAAAGATTTATAACAAACAGCTTACTTCACTCTTTGAAGTTCACATCATAACCTTGCCATCTCTCATAGCTCTTCTGTATCTGATCCTAAGTTCACACCTAGAAATTCTTTTAGTTGATAAAATATAAGAGGCAAGAAAATGTCCAAGTGAATGGATAAAGAAAATTTTGAAGCTTGTTGAAAACAACAAATTCCAAAATTTAGGACTTCTTTTATGTTGTAGATGGTTGGAATGCAGATTCATCATTAGGACAGATATTTTTTGTATTCTGGAAAACAGCTATAATAGTTCTGGGCACATTCAAAGTTGACTATGGATTTTTACATGAAAAATAGAAAATTGCAATCAGTTTGGCCACAGACAAGTATTAAGCTTTGGAAAATAAGATAATAAAATATTATCTTCCTTCAACATGACATTTCTTTAAAAATAAGGTAGTACACTGCTCTGTTGGGGTTTTTTGAAGTGTATGATCAATTATGAGCATTGGTACCCAAGGGAAAGAACACAAGCATCTAGATGACAAAAAGGTGAGAGCCTACCTTCAAGTCTAACAACAATCAATGGTATTGAATTGGAATTTCCAAAGGTTAGCTTAGACCACAGTAGTGAAACCAAGAGATGAACAGTATAAACAAATGCAACAATATCTCTCGTTATTCAAAGGGCAACTTTGCAGGAGGACATAAGGAATAGGTAAGACTGGCTCTAAAGTTGAGTTTCTCAACCTTGGAATAACTGACATTTTGGCTGCACAATTCTTTTTTGTTGAAAGAGCCCTATACATCGGCATAGGAGGAGGGTTAGCACCTTCTTTGGTTTCTGGTCAGGAATAATTCCCAGTTCCAGTCAGATACAACAAAAAATGCAAACATGCCTCTGGCTGCTGCCAACATTGTGAGGACTAAAGAATCACCCCACTGAAAATCAGCACTACCAATGAAATGGAGATTTCCTTCACCAACCATTCTGGGGGAGAATCATGATGGAATAGATATCAGATGAAAACCCAAATGCTTCCCGGCTCTGCTGCTCCAGAGGTTTAGACTGAGCCTCCTGTCTTAGCAAACGCATTTACACTCACTCTCCCGTAGAGACGTGAATATATTATCTGTTCCAACCCAGCTTCAGGAAGATAACCCAGTGTAAAGATAGCTAATAATGCAATTCCTGCTGAATGACTGGCCTGCATGTAATTGACATAAAACGTGTAAGTCATTTCCAACTTTGGCTCCCCATCCTCTCTTGCAATGACCATCAGAAATGCTCTGGAGCCCCCAAAATTAGATCAGATAGACAGAGAGACCAATAAGGAAAGCTTAGAACAGACAAGAAGAAGTCAGCTTGGACTCTCATATACCTCACTAGGTAGGACACAAAGATCAGTTACTCCTCACTAAGAGATTTCTCTGCACACCCCTCCTAAAACTGTTCTGCTCTTCAATCATTAATATATGGCTTGTTAGAATTATAACTG